AACCGAGACGAGCGTCCGTCAATTTCCAATGACCTCCTGTCGTTCATTCCGTATTGCGAGCTATAAAGTCACCAGTGCTACGTGCGTCTCCGCGTTTCGATACGTATAAGGAGACGCTATATGTAGTAAGTCTCATTCGCTACTGGTTGACTTATGGAATAGCGGATTATTCCGCGTCTACGGTGGAACAAAGGTGAGCGCCTTCGTGTTGTGTTGCGTGAGATTCTCGGTTGAGTTTCACTATGTCATCGGAAATGCTGGGGTGGATTAGGCGCTTGGCGGGGTAGTGCACATCTCTTAATCTCGAAACACTTTTAGGCCTCTGAAGAAGACGATTAGTCGAAACGTCAGGCCGTTAAATAAATAGTTCCACCTAAAAACCTCGTGAGGCACAATATAACACTGAATTATTGAAAACTAACATGCCGAGGTTACAAGAAGAGAGAAGCTGGAGAATATTATTTTCAGAATTCAACTAGCCATAGCGATACAGAACATCCTTCGTATGGATTATCCGGATAAGTGGCCGGGTTTCATGGACCATCTTTCGACGAAGATCTCGAATCCTGCTAATGCATCAGTATTATCTGCGGGTCTAATTGTTCTATACACTGTCGCCAAAGTTTACGAGTAATTCTTCAGTTTAAATATTCCCACTCACAGCTCAGTGTACTGACAGAAATCTGCTTTAAGGTTCAAACGAAGCAAGGAGAAGGAAGCAATCGCTGGACCTATTTCTAAAATCGAGCCTCTTGTCTTCTACCATTGTAATCAAATGCTCAATAATCAGTCTGCTGAAGCTGTAATTATTAAAAAACAAGGATTGAAAATCATCTACGTATTGACTCAGGTTGGCTGCATGTGCTATTATTTGTCACGTATGAGGTCAATATTTGGTCCTGCCACTACTTATCCTTTGCTGCCTGAATTTATGAAACTTACACGTTTGTCGCCGGAGCTGTCGTCTACATCGGAGGGCGAAAAGGGTCGCTCTGGCGACAGCTGCGTATTTGCATGCCGTCTACGCTCTCTCGTACATACCCGCTACC